GGTGTAGTCGGCACTTTGCTTCGTTCATCATTTCGGGGTTTTTTACAATGCCTTGCTTTATGTGCCCCCCCCCCCCCCCCCCCCCCCCCCCTTTTATAAATTAAAGATTCCACAAACGACTTCACGTTCTCTCCTGAAGTCCTCTCGTGGCGTGCAGACTTCGACGTTGGCATTGTCGCTTCTCAACACACTGCTGCCCCGCATCATTCGCAAATAATAAAGAACGCCTTTCCCCTCCTGCCCAGGGAATTCACGCTGTCGTTTCTGGAAGTTTATCTTCCGGTATTGGAATTCCCATGCCGGTGCGGAGCGCAAAACAAAACCCGCGGGACGGCGCTTCTTCTCAAACGTCAGATTCCCGTCCGAAGATCGAACCAAGACCAAGAGCAGGTGCAGCTTGAGGCCACGTGAAGTGTCTACGGATCGCTGTCAAGGAGGGTCACGGGGCAGACCCCCAGCTGTTGGCCCCCCACCCTGACCGTGATAACGTGTCGCACTTTCATCCGCTCCGCTCCTTGTCGTGAGCATCGCTCCTCCGACTGCCCTCCCCCCCCAAACATCAACAACCAACTTGTGTCTTCTTTGGTTCTTTCGGTAAAGTCACGCAGAATGAGAATAAAATAATAAAATAAAACAATGAAATTCTCACGACGTTTCGGCCACAATACAAGCGGCCTTCTTCAGGTGAAAGGAACAAACCTGTCGGGACGACAGAGCTACAATGAGCGCTGCCAAGATTCGCAGCGTCTTTAAAGCTGGTTGAGAGAAGTGAGTCACCTTGACAAAGGGGTTTAACATATCAAACAGGATAATTTATTTAGCATTGTTTGATATGTTAAACCCCTTTGTCAAGGTGCTTCACTTCTCTCAACCAGCTTTAAAGACGCTGCGAATCTTGGCAGCGCTCATTGTAGCTCTGTCGTCCCGACAGGTTTGTTCCTTTCACCTGAAGAAGGCCGCTTGTATTCTTTGGTTCTTTCGGTAAAGTCACGTAGAATGAGAATAAAATAATAAAATAACACAATGAAATTCTCACGACGTTTCGGCCACAACACAAGGTGCCGTCCTCAGGTGAAGAAACAGGACTGTCCAGAAGACTTCCACTCAAGCGCTGTCTTCTGGACAGTCCTGTTTCTTCACCTGAGGACGGCTACTTGTGTTGTGGCCGAAACGTCGTGAGAATTTCATTGTTTTATCTTATTATTTTATTCTCATTCTACGTGGTGACTTTACCGAAAGAACCAAAAGAAGACGAAATCCTTGCAGTCACGAAAGCTTTAAATCGAAATTTAAACCAACTTGTTGACCAGAGTTGGCAACGTGCCTTTTCACGATCCCCTCCGTCTTCCAAAAGTCCGGCAGACCCACACCAGCGTGTGGCCCACACGACGGTGCCAACCTGCCTCCACTTTATCCGCCCGGCGCTCCGCTCGCTGTTGTGAGCGTCGCTCCTCCGCCCTCCGTTGTCGATGTTGCTTGCTGCGAAGTTTGCGTCCCTTTTAACTCCCTGCACGAGCCTCCCGAAGATCAAAACGTCGTCCCACGTCTTCCAGAAGAGGTACAGGGCCGGCCGCGAAGAAAACGCCGACGCCCGGAAAAGCGTCGGGCTCGTCTCTGACGGCCGCCTCTTGCCGCTCGTAATCTCCGCACCAAACGGCCCCGTTAATTACACACACACACTAATACCTTTGGATATTTTAAACGTCCACGGACCAGCTTACCCACCAACCCCGAAACAACTTCAAGCGCTCGCGCAGTGGGTCGTTTTATTTTTTTATTGTTGCAGGTACATTCAAGAATGTTCCGTTTTTTTCACGAAGCGCCCCTGAGGCCGCACCGGTCCTCGACTAGATTATTGCGGGCTTTGGGGCGAGGTCTCCCGGCCGAGCCTGCCAGGCTGACCGGACTCTTGTGGGCCTCCCGCTCCGAGGCCGGCATTTGTTTAACGTGCTGTAAAGGTCATTCATGTTAAATATTACTTGCTTGCGATGTTCTTTATCAGCGTCTTGAATCGCGCGAATATGTTTACATGCCTGTGTGAGCAGTTCGCTTGTGTTGATCTCTGTTAAGAGACCCAGGACCAGTGGTGCAAACTCCTCGTTCCCATGGCGCGGCTCAGTCTTTCCATCAGACAGGCGATCTTTTGTTAAGAATTGTTTTATTTCACGTTTGGATTCCTTTAGCATTTGGTGAGCACTTTGTATTTTTTGCTTGTTTGCTGTATGTGTTTTGAACTCTAGTCTCCCTTGAGCAAGATACTTTGTCTGAATGTGCTTTTATCTGGTCATAAATGAATTGCTACTTATATAAAACTATAATCGCTTGATTATTGTGTTACGGTTTGCATCAATGTGAACTTTGTACCCCTGAGTCCGGAATTAACCAAAACCATGTTTGCGTCAACAATTTGACATCACATTTTGACTTAGTAATTCATTTTAAATTCACGGATGCTGAGCAAAGACCCACATTCCAGTGGCCAACAGCAAATAGCACTATTGAATGTGGAACTGGTAAGAGTGAATGCTTCTATTTAATTGTGCAAGGCTATACGTATTTGGGGAATTCCAAGTTGGTTCAGTGCGAAGAGAGAACGGTTTTGACGTGCAGTATGATGCCACTATGGATGAGACCTAAATCCCAATGTGGATGGAGAAATCAATGAGTAAGTTCATGGGAACAGTAACGATGTTGGTAGCGATAGAAGAATGATAGGGAGGTGACTGGAGTGAATAGGTCAATTCTGGATCAATCAACCAACCCTTGTATTAAATTAATATAAGGGGAGCGGGAGGTCGCCACTTAAGGTATTTTATGTACCATGCCTCTTAACAGATATGGTGGTTGGAAAAAAAACTCTCTCCCTATTAAAGGGTATAAAATTCAAGTAGTGTGCTCCATTTAGGTGATGGGATTTGTTCGGGTGACATTTTGTGCTCTATGTCCTTTTTGAGAGTGTTATAAATGCAGTGTTTGGTATGTCATGTCGAGTATGCATCCTCTTCTCCTGTAACGCGTGTTTTCATGACGTGGACTGGACAACGCAATGAATTTGATAGAACACTTTTTTATAACGCGGATACGAATTGGACATATAACGCGATCTAGTGAACAGAACTGCGTCACATGAGTAGGAATAAGCGGTTGTGTGGCTGCCTCGTCCGTAGCATCACACAAGGTGGGATGCTGCTGGATGCTTCTAGATGCTACCCACTTTACCCTATATTATGTATTTATTATTACGCGATTTATCCATAACGAAGTGTTCTTCAAGGAACGCAACTTCTGCGTTTTAGGAGAACACACTGTATTTCATGATGTTGACAGTGTTGTAGATATGGAGCGCTTGTGTGTACGTGTCTAATGCCGAGTGCATTTGACGTATGTTGCGTAGGTGCTAGGGGCATTGGTGCTGATAATTTAAATCGTCTGTGACGCGGCGCGTACAAGCAGCATGGCCCTGCCCCCGGTTCCGGATGCTGCGCTTGTGCACCTGCCTCTCCGCCATCTTCGCTCTGCTCAAGCGCCTCGTGTGCCGGTCCGGCGCTCGCAACGCATCGTCACGTCGATGTCATGATGATGATGTTCACAGTGTCTCGCGATTGAGTCGCGATTAGGCACAGCCCACTGTCACGACGATGTTAAGATTGATCATGTTGGTGACTCAGAGTTAGAGACTTATTTGACCATCTTTCAAGTTGATTTATTTAACCGCGTCAATTTCTTTCATGTTTCGCAAAGACCAGACATGCTTTTGCACATACCAATACAACCAAACACATGTGGGCATACAAACACTGGCACAACCAGCCTGTTGAATACACATAATTTATAACAGAATTGACACACATACAAAACACATCCTCTTGCATACACCCAAACTCATACAGACAGCGTATGGACATTTGTGTTCACCAAGAAGCAAATACTCACTGGAATAACAATACACGCAACCTACTTGCCTACGCACTTTCACAGTCAGTCTATTCACAAAACAAAGATCCCCCATATAGACTTTAGTAGACTGTTGGAGAAAGTCCTATTGGCACGCATATATTAAACCTGTCTTAGCATACAAGGTGTTATAATTATGTGTCCAGCATCATGCCCCCGGCACCTTTTAGTCCCAAGTGCTGATGCTTACGCACCATGTTAGGTTCTCGTTTAAGGTTGAGTCAACCGAGGAGACACTGGGAATTAGTGATGATTTAATTGCCCACTAATGTTAATTGTGGCCAGGAATATTAATTCGTATACAGGCACACCTGATTATTTAAAATAACTTGTAAACAATCTTCTGGTCAAAAGAGATGGTGAATCTCCATGGGCCACCACGTAAATTAGATCGCCCATATTTGTTTCGATGGGTGTATGTGTGGTGCCAGTACATGCAGGACAAGATCTGAGCTTAACCTCTTGGGCCCTGTGTGCTCCTCACCTCCAGGTCAGGGCAGTGGGAGGAAGTTGAGTGGTGGACTCCGTTGATCCTTCCCACCACGTGGATTTTTCCTTGCCCAAGGTCAGGTCCGCACCACAACAGCACACCACAACCCAACCAATCTCGCCACTATGCGTGTAAAACCATCCACATCACAAACACCATTACCATACAATCATCTCTGGCGTGCAGCTCTTTGCATGGGAGTGGAGCGAGCAACCATACAACAACACTCCTTCCAGCCAATCCTTCCCATCATCTGAGAGAAAGAGTACCAATCGCACAACCATACCACCGCACCACAGCCACACAATTGCAATGACAATATAGCTGTTAATCTCGCCTGATCCGTACCGATGTCTGCCCGGTGCAGACGACGTGCAGGAGTGGAGCTCGTGGGATGACGACGCTCCGACCAGCGTCTGCATCGACAATGGCGGAGGAGCTGGGAACGGTGGGGCTGGCGGGGGAGGCTCGGGTTGGGCCCGGCGCTCTCTCCCCACCACGGCTGTCACTAACAACGCCGCCATTGTCGGCGACATCATGGAGCGGACTTCTTTAGCGACATGACCCCCACCATCGGAAGACGCAGAAGGTGAGTGAGCCAAGAGGAAAAGATGACGCCATCTCGTGTCCCTGTGCTTCGGATGGGCGTGCGTGGTTCTGGCCCCTAGGCATGCAACGATTCACTCCCCTCCAGCAATTCGTTTACATTTTATGCGTGAATAATACGTTTTTGGCTAGTTTATACTATCTCATCTGTACGATATTGTTTGTTCTGTTGAGACAGAACACACATCTTATGTGTTCTGTCTTGTGTGGAGTCCATTTGTTTTAATATTATTTTTTTTAGTTCTATTTAAATCGTATTGTATCATCAGTTAAGTTTAATCTATGGTGTCTTCATTGTTCATCCTGTCTCATTCGCTATCCCTCATTTATCCTGCTTTGCTTTGTCTTATTTGTACTCTCTTGATATAGCTGCCCACCCTGAGCTATAAATACTAAATACTCTGATATGTGCATTGTTTTTGTACTGTTCACCTTTTGGCGTTCTTTGGTCTTACACTGGTGAGACGAGGCCATCAAGAAGGCTGTCTCTGTTGTAAGCCAATTCATTTCAAATATAATGCATATATTTTCACTGCATGTTTGCATGTTCACCACAAGTACGTGTTGTTAATGCAGACTTGATTTCTTGCAAAAAGGTATCTATTTGGTGTTTGAACATATTAATGCCTGTTTTATTGCCGGAAAGGGTAAAATTTATTATTATTTTTCATACTTGTGTAGTAAGTCCATAGGAGGCACACACGTTTATTCTACACTTTTAACACTTGTTCACACACGGGATAAGTATAAATGGGTCAGCAGCAGCCGGCACGCTGCCTGAACCCACGACGCCGGAGAGGAGACGAAGCTCGTTGGGTTCCATTCCACCAAACAGCAGCCCTCATCCAGCCTCGGGACTTCCATTTTATGCCCCCCGGCGTGGCCATGGCTCCGCCCTCGGTCACGCCCCCCTTCTGGAACCGACTAGAAGGTTCTGGCCAACCTTCCACGTGTCCCCTGCCTGGCTCCCGCCCTTGGCTACGCCCCCTTCTGGAACCCACCAGAAGTTTCTGGGCTACACACTCATGTGTCCCTCAGTCACCTTTGCCCCACATCCTTTTACCCCGGCCTATCATGGCCTGGGTGCAACGGGTGCCACGGCCTATATGCCCCCTATTCCTGCCGGCAGCCAGCGCCACGCACCCGAGTTGACCCACTCCGTGGCATTGCATGCTCTGCTGGCAGAACGGCTGCTACACCCTGCTCGGCCGGCAGGTGTCGCGCCGTTACTCGCACATTCCCTCTCTGTCAGTAAGCAGCGCTACGTGCCGTAGTAATCCATTCTATGTCACTACACTTGTTTGTATTTTCTATCTGGTCTATTCTGTCTTAATTTATACTGTCATGTCTCATTAGTTCTGTCTAGTTAATTCCAGCCATTATGCATCACATATCTGAGCACACTCGCTGTCACGTGGTCACAAACAGATGGCTTATGATTATCACCAATTTATGTTTCGCTCACATCCTCAGAAAGTGTGTTAAATGCTTATTCCCTGATGATAGTTTAATTTACATTTCAGTGATTTAAAAATATGTTAGACTGAATTTTTTCTAAATATCTTGTTGTTAGAACTTGCATGGAGTTTGCATGACGTTTCCTAAGTTCATTGCCTTTTCACCATCACACAAACTCCGGTCATCCTCGCAGCGGCTTTTGGCTAACCTAATAAAGACGGTCACTGCATTGCGCGCTTTTAGATGCGCTTCTGCGTCTGTTTGGAACGCTCTTCCTTACGATATTAGCAAGACACTTGGAGATATGCACTTTTAAATCTAGATTGAAAACTCATTGTGTTTAGTTTGTTGTCCTTCCCCCACACCTCCAATTAGCATGGTTGACTACGTGCAGTATGAAAGAAGGTCAACATACATACATATGTAGCCTACAAAGGCTAGGAATAATGGTGACTTGAAACCCCCAGTCAATTTCTGCTCAGTGAGAGGTAATTCTTTCTCTTCTTCTGCCCTTGCAATATTGAACACCCTCCAGCCATCCATGTTGTTAACTCCCTACCTGTCTGGAAATCCAGGCTCAAAACCTTCCTCTTGTCTTCTGCCGCTGACTATCTCTTCTATGGTATATATAATAAGGATATACTGTATATGTTACCATCTCCATTATGCGCATGCCAGACTGTTTTTGGTACATCGTCTTGAGAAGCAGTTGTATTTAGGTGCAATATAATCCAAATTGTATTGTACGGTGAGCATATGTGTGGCATGTATTTACACGTGTGTGGAGCGGTAGTGGAGCGGTTAGTGTGCCGCACTATGAATCCGGGCACCTGAGTTTGATTCCCGCTCACGGGCAACAACAGTGGTGATTATCTGAACCGGTCCTGTGCCTTCCCTAGGTCGACTCAGCCTCTAATAAGTACTGTGCCAGCCCTCGTAGGTGCTTGCTAACAGCACTTGCCCCAACAATCTGTTAAGGCTATACAGGGAATCTTTGTCTTTGTATGCACACATGTGGTGTGCCAATGCTTGTGTGTGCATTTACTCGCCAGATTATTGTCAAAAAGAAACAAGATTTCATCGGGCTGTCGGGATCATCCACCCTCTCCAGCCGACTCGTTGCCTCCCAGGACCAATCCTTTCTCCCACCCACGGTAAATACACCACGGTCATCACGGGCAGCACAACCTCGACACTAGAAGCTGTTTACCCGCTACGTTGTTTTTTTTTAAGTCTCTTAAAAGAGACTGCTGGTCTTATGTATCTCTGACCTTTTTTCTGGAATAAACGCACTTTATTGTACAAGCAAATATAAGCAAAACTCCGTTCCGTCTCTCCACATGTACATTAAAATATGTTTTAGCCTATTAGATTATTGGCTTTCTGGACCAATATCATCAAGTGGCAATTATTTAAGCAAGCACGTTTTTCGGCTGGTTTCGATCTTCATTGGCAGTCGGTACTTGTTTAACAATTACTGTTGAATTCCCAGATGTTAAATTTCAATTTAAAGCTTTCGTGACTGCAGGGATTCATCTTCTTGGTTCTTTCGGTAAAGTCACATAGAATTGAAATAAAATAATAAAATAAAAATTATCACGACGTTTCAGCCACAACACAAGTAGCCTTTCTCAGGTGAAGAGACAGAACTGTCGGGACGACAGCGCTTCAGTGAACACAGCCAAGCTTTGGCCGCGTCTTTTAAGCTGGGTGGGAGGAGCAGAGCGCCTTGACCAAGGAGTTTACATATCAACAGAAGAATTTAGCATTCAAGTAGCTATGTTAATGTGTTGGATTAGCATGATGTTAAAGTCAGAAATTAGCATGTAACTGGGGGATTAGCATGCTGTTAGTGTGACACAATCAACACAACAATCTGTCAACAATATTGTTGTACAAGATCGTTCTTTTTATTTAAAAGTCACGTGATCAGGCACATAGGTTTAGCGACTAAAGGCATTTAATTCATCTTGGACTCGATACTATAAATTGGTAGGGTGCATTAACCCATGCTGATTTGAGCTGTGTTTTGGTATTGGCATGGAGTGATGGTCCAGTGGCGACACTGCGATATTAACTCTGTGACCCACGTTAGTTTCGCGATCACGGCTAACATCAGTGGAGAACGATTGAGCACAGCAAGGGGGAGTTTGGAGTCTTCCACATCTAACAAATTCCTTGTTCTCGCCGAGCGTAGTCGGAGCTGGGGGAGCTGGACACGTGGCCCGAGGGGAGGAATGCCTGGGAGGAGGAAGGAGACGCTAGTTGGGAGGCGGACGAGGTGTTGAGGTGAGCGCGCACTGCCCCTGCACGCACGAACACACGCAAGTAATGGATTTGGCTTCCCTGTTTGGCCACACAGGGTATGTGTCTTATAGGAGTAGAGAATTTGAAGCGCCCCACGGTGTGTAGTGCTGTCCCCAACTATAGTTCACTCAATCATTCTGCTATGAAGAAGAACCCTGCTGCAGGGGACCCCCAGTGACAGCTGTCCCTGTAAAACACAAGGTGAACACAGCACCAGCCAGCAAGTGGACATTAATCTTCCAGTAGGAGGTCAAAGGTCATACATTGTCCTTGGTCCCATAGTTCCCTGGTTACTGCTGGTCAGAATGATCCCTTATTCAACTTTATATCATGAAAATGAGTTGCGTAAGTGCTCTGTCTGGCAGACACCCAAATGTAGCTTCTCATCATGTAGATCGGGAGCTTTCAATGTAACATGCACCCCGTTTCAGCCGTTAACACAACCCTTTTGCCATCACCGCCCGCCCTTGCAGGCAGCAGAGGCAAATGGAGAGGGAACGCCGCACAGCTGAGCAGCTTCGGAAGAAGGTGGAGAAGGACATCCTGAGAGCCCAACGGAAGGAGCACGGGAAGATCGCAGTGAAGCTCTCCTGACCTTCCCGCACACACGCACGCGCGCGCGCTCGCTCGTACATGCAGTCGTATGTGCACACCGTGGCAGGGACTGTCGAGATTACAATTGCGCTGTCATCAAGAGCCAAATTCTCCCGCAGTTCCCCTAGACCAGTGATGTGCAACCCAGACGAGTTAGTGGGCCACATGAGCGGCCCTCCTTCACCTCAGTGGGCCGCGAGCTTGACATCGTGCTTGTGCACTGATCATGACCCCGTGCATAACCCTAGAAACACTTAGACCAGGCCACCACCGAGGGGCCGCACGGGACGCATGCCGCCCGCGGGCTGCAGGTTGCCCACCACTGCCCTAGACCCTCGTAGTTTATTCCCAAGCGATCGAGACACCTGGTTTTTGCAAGCAGCTGGCCTCTGGCCCGGCGAATAGTGTGGGAGTTTTCGGGGGAGGTGGGCAGGGGTAATGCCGAGTGAGTGGAGGTCGCACAAACACTGTTTTCCGTCTACGAGTTCCTGCCGTTGATGGGAAAATTTAAAATCCCGCCGCTTCCTCCCCTCGGCGTTCAAGCACATGGTACAATTTTAATGCGGCTTCACACGGAGTGTTAAAAACACACAATTCCATTTGCCCGTGTCGGAGCACTGAGCCAGCACCATAGAGATCTTCGGATCCTTGATTGCAATTTCTCGGTGTATCGAATTGTGATTTGTGTAGCTTACGAAAACTTAACAGGCTTAAACCCACAATTGTATCTCTGATGGTCCATTTTAGTAAAACCACAGTCCATGCACCTCCTCAAAGGAGCAAAATCTTTCATATTTGCCATTCTTCTGTCGTTGCGCAGCACAGCGAGAGTCCGTACTGGAGGTGGTACAGTCCAATTGGACAGCGTGGATAAGGGAGACAATCCATCTATAACCCCGCTGTGCTGGGAAATTGCCGACAAATCTGTGCTCTCATGCATAGGATTAGCTCAGCGGACTGTTCCATTTGTCTGTAAGGGGTGGACTGAAAGAGGGGTTCTTGTTTAAATGAGACGGCGTTGTAAAAAGGGGATGCGGTAATTGTGAATATTATTTAATTGTAGGTTAACATTCACGTGCGTGACATTTTTAGAAATTATAGGTATTTTCATTTTACACTGCAGGCCACATCGACCCCTACCAGCCTCAGTGTCCATGGGCCACACATCAGTGAAATAGATTTCTAAATTGAAAACTCATTCCTTTTGAACTGCTCTTTGTGTTGAGTTTGTTGTCCTTCCCCCGCACCTCCGATTAGCACGGTTGGCTACGTATGGTGCGAAAGAAGTTCAACATACAAACATACAATGGGAGTCAACAGTTTGATTCCCCCTACAGGCAGATTTTGACAATTGCTTTGGTATGCTAACCAAAGAATGCCACCGGCTGTAAATAATAATGTCATTTATTAGCCTTGGAAAGACAAAGGGAGTCAATACTTTTTCATAAAAGTGCTGCTTTGCTGTTTGGCCAATTCCTCATGGCGTATTTTACATATCCATTAGAAACTGGAGTGCTTAGAGAAAACCCACATGTACAAGGAGATAACACACAATACTAGCCAATAGGCTGCTTTCCAGCGGACTATTGTAAGCCAGTGCCTCGAGTTACACCTTATGCGCGCCAAAAAAAGATTAAACGTATAACTTGCATCAGTTAAAATCGACTATTACGATACACGCATCATATCATGAGTGATAGAATCGATTATGATTTTTGCAAATTATATCCGATGTTGTGCTGTTACATTTAGCGTAATGGGCTAAAGAAAAACTACATATGAGGCAGAACGAACGAGACGCAATTATGGGCGAGACGAAATAAAATCGATTCTTGAATTGAATCGTGACCTGAAGCAATCGTGGGGGGTTGGGGCTAGGTGAATCGTTTAGATGCCCAAACGTCGTGATACGTGATGTTCTTACCCGACCACAGCGCACGGGACATCCCCAAAAGTAATGCCTCATTCATTTCCCAACAACCTATTGAAGTGAAAGACAACAGGTCAAATCGTATCAACGTCTGTCAAACGGCAGAAGCCTTGCTCGATTGTGACAGTGCCAAACCACATAACGAACCCAAGAACATCGGCAGACCGTTAAACAGGTCGGGTCAGCTGCCCTGCCTCCCCCCACCGTCCATCACAATTCCCTCTTGAACGACAGCTTATGTGCGCACCGTTTTTTTTTTAAATGCCACCGTCTCTGGAAGGGCGTGGTTCACAAGTGGCTACAAGATGCCAACGAATCCCTTTCTCGTGGTGGATGCCAGCCTGGTTGCTTTGCACATTGACTCAAGTGCAGAGAGAATGGTAGAGGCTGTGCTGAGCAAATAACCAGATGTTCGTGGCCTTTCCCAAAAGCGAAAATCTAACGCGTGTTCATTAAACAAGCACGGAGCATCGCGTTTCAGTACGGACGTAATCATGCGTCGATTTGTGGATTAATATGGATTATTTAAGCTCAAAAGATGTATGCATATAACTGCAGGTGTTAGACTCATGTTTTTGTTTTAGATGTTCTAAATAAGGGTTTATTGCGATTCCTGCAACCACGAGAGGCCACTACTTTCGCAAAAAATATGAAAAGGAATAACGTTTTGAATTGTATTGCCATCTTAAGTTGCGACAATTCACCAAATCTTTCGACCTGTATTTTAGAGGCATCTTTCCTTGATGGAATCTACTGAGGTTTTGGTAGGGGTCTTTAGGGCCTTAAGTCTACATTTCAGACACCCTTTCAGAATAATAGCCTGGTTAGTGAAAGGAGGTAATCTGCCTATTTTTCACGACGATATACCAGATGACTTCAGTTTGAGTTGGGATGGCAATTGGTGATTAAATGGTGATTCATTATTGAGAACTGGTCCAAATGAAACGTGTGCGTTTTTACTCGTGTGTGCATGCAGAGTTTGTTGGTCTGTGATGGATTTTGGTTTGCTTCCAGCTGGAGTGCAGGTGGCACATGTGAGTAAATTATTACCATCATCATCATTGATGACTTAAAATCATTAATGCTGACGCCAATCGCCAGTGACTGCCAACACCACCACAAACCAAGGTCATCTCCATCACTGCTTACCATCACCAACATCACTAATCCGCATTACCACCACTACATCAACTAGGCATGTAATCATTAACATCTGTGTTAAATCAATGATTTTATTGTGATACCAGGTTATGATTCGATTCAAGAATCCATTTTCTTTAGTGTTTTTTACCATCTCATTTGTATTGTTTTGATTTGTTTGGTCTCATGTTCCATCTTGTTCATTCCACGATATATAAATGTCACTTTAGAATATGTGTATAATTATAATTTTTACTTCAAGCTTTCGTGACTGCAGGAATTCATACTCTTTGGGTTTTTCGGTAAAGTGACGTAGATAGAAAAATAATAAAAATAAAAAAATCACGACGTTTCGATCGCAACACAAGCAATCGTCCTCAGGTGAACAAAAAATATAGCAAGAGCTGCTGAAGCAGCAGGGTGTTATATAGGCCTGAGATGGGTGCAGCCCAAGGGCAAGTGGGCGGGGTTAGAGAAGGAAGATCGAGGGCACCCCAAAGCTGTTGGGCTGGCCATTGTATCGTGAGAGATTAGCATGTCAATGTAGCCACCACCACAATCAAAACTATCACCTTGCCATACATAGCAGGGGTTACCAAACATATTTCCAAAATCATGAGCAAACAAGATCCAGGTTCGATTCAACACACTACATAAAATTTGTGATCTGATCCCATCTGTGAAGGATGTGATCCCTGACATGCAATACCCCGGTGTCTACAAACTAAGCTGTGGCTGTGGCAGCAGTTACACTGGGGAAACTAAGCAACGTCTCGGACCGTGTTCGTGAACATAAGGCAGATCTGAAACACGGTAGGACCAATACCTCAGCCGTGGATGATCATTGTTTTAACGCTGTAGGCACACACGAAATTGATTTCTCCAAGACGAAGGTACTCTGCAAACCTACTGGCTATCAACAAAGATTTGTTCATGAAGCCATCCAGATATATAAACAGACAATTTCAGCCGAGAAGATGGGGACAAACTGAGCAATCATTGGAAGGACGTTATTAACAAGTTAATAATAATACTGCTGTGATGTTTCCATCCTACCTGCCGATGTTAGTTATTTCCGACTCTCCGAGTTGCATTCCTAGATGTGGCGGTGGCTACATTGACATGCTAATCTCTCACGATACAATGGCCAGCCAAACAGCTTTGGGGTGCCCTCGATCTTCCTTCTCTAACCCCGCCCACTTACCATTGGGCTGCACCCATCTCAGGCCTATGTAACACCCTGCTTCAGCAACTCTCTTGCTATATATTTTTTCACCTGAGGACGATTGCTTGTGTTGCGTTCGAAACGTGATTTTTTATTATTTTTATAATGTTTCTATCTACGTGACTTTCCCGCAAGACCCAAAGAGTACGTACAATTATGATTCATATATAATCGATTTGCACACACGTAATTTGATGCATATATCATGACGCTATGTATCAATATTAATCTACCATCACAACAACCACTGCCACCACCATCACTGACATCGGCTATCATTACCCCAAAATCATTGCCACCACCATTGCCAATCCTACATCAGCACCAACACCAGCACCAGTACCGCCATCATCACTTGCTACTACCACCATCACTAACTGCGCAATCACAAACGCCACTACTGCCATCACTACCCGCTTTACCAATACACCCATATCACAAAAACTCACATTCGTTAATAACACAATTGGCCTTAAAAACAAGGAGTATGTAATAGGCGACGTTTCAAAACAATGGTCCTTCAGCGGATAGGTAGTGTCATGTAACAGGGTCACCCTTATTACAAGACACAGAGCGATTTCTCATGATAGGAAGCATCTTGTGCGGGATAATTATTTAAGATTCATGAACAAATTGTACTGAATTACAGTATTCCTTCGTTATTCACGAAACTGCTATCCGTTATTTTGGCTATCTGCGAATCTGATCTGGAAATCTAAACGACTGCATCGAGTGAGAGAGAAAGAAAGTGATGAGACAGAATGTAATTAGAGAAAGTGATGCGATAAAGTGATGAAATAATGTTCAGGTATTCAATATCTTATTTATTTAAGGTACTTAATTTAAAAGATATGTTTTCCTAGGCCAATATGTTTGCGTGACATTTGCAATTCACGAGCATCTCTGGAACGTATTCCTCGCGAATAAGGAGGGAATACTGTAATTGCAAATGGTACATTTAGGTTTAACGGAGCAACATTGCCCAAATAAGATAGAAGAGATTGTTCTTGAATGGAATTTCCACCATGAATATAGCACGTGTTCTGCCTGTCGCAAGAGAGGTGGGTTTAACAAGGATTCACATACCCTCCTGGTCATGAGCCCACACAATTCCGCCTCGTGAAACAACCAATACTCTCCTGAAACTTAGCCACGAGGCTCGGTACGACTATTTTAGGTCGTAAAATATTTAAAATTCCTAAAAAAATGTACTCCAGTTTTATCCCAATTGTGTTATCGCTCTTTGTGTCACATGATAGATAATCCATTTGAAACTCTAGCAGAGCAATGCAATTCTTAGTAGTAGACAACGGCCTGTGGAAGTGTATATCACAGACCTACCTCTTGAAATCCCTTCAGGTAACCTGTGTTCTACATAGTGGGGGGCAGCACTTTGGATTTGTCACGTAAAATGCCAATTAGTTACTACTTCAATCCATGGATTTACTCATCCAAGGATTTACTTTCCATGGATTTACTCTTTAACACACCAGTAGGCTGAAGTAGTAATTGACTGTGTCGGGTGGTGGAGGGTTACGACACATTAATACTTACGCGATCTAACCCAAAAAAACCTTTATTATGAAGATGGTGTCTAGCCAATTGACAAAAGTGGTCACTCGCTCGCCCGTGGCCCTTCGTAGCTTGACCCTCCACCCCATTGGCTGTGGAGACCTCCTCCTGCCCCCAACAGCGTGACTCACCAACACCGCAACAATGACAACCGCACATCAACAACAACCGCCATTCGCCACTAAGTGGCGATGACGTCACCACGACGCTTGTGCCAGGCTATGTGCACCTTGAGGCCACGTGAAGTGTCGAACGCCCGCTGGCAGTTGATCACGGGGCAGACACAGGTGCCACGGGTCGACTGACTGAGATGACTGGCTGATGCACCACCTGTGCCCCCTACTGTGCTAACCTGCTGTGCTTTAGCCACCCGGAGTTCCGCTCGTTGTTGCGAGCGTCGCTCCTCCGCCCTCGGTGTTGTTGGAGGGCGACTGCCTCCAACTGCCCAATAGCGTCCTTCACGAGCCTCCTCCACAGAGGCCGATCTTGACACCGCTGGTACCAGTCATCGGCAAGTCCACTCAGCTCCACGTCCTCCTTGTACCACATCATTCCATCTCTTCTCTAGCCCTGTGCCGCGCCCGTTTAGCCCCCTCGATCCGGCCGAACAAAAGCTGTTTCGGCATGCGGTGGTTGGGCATGCGGGCTACATGACCCAGCCAACGCAGCCTTGCCTGCCAGAAGAGCTCACCGATAAAACCTTGCCCAGATCTTTCAAGGATTTGTGGGCTCCTCATACAATCCAGCCTGGTTAAACCCAGGATGGATCGTAGGCAGGCCATCCTAAATGTTTCCAACCGGCGAAGATGCTCCATTAAGGGGGTCCTACGTTTCGCAAACGTAGAGAAGGGAGGGAATGACCGTGGCCGAGAAGACCTGAAGCTTAGTGCGGAGCGACAGACCAGGTCGCTTCCACACAGCTGTTACGTAACCGATGAAAATATTGCCGCTCGATTGATTCGGAGTGAGACCTCTGCTGTTTAAACGGTTGCTGGTCATAAGCACACTGCCCAGGTATGGGAAACTCTCCACTCTCTCCACAACTGCCCCATCACCGATTGGGAGTTGTGGGGGTGGAGTGTCCGATGGTACAAAATACCCAGGCAGGTGCTTAGTTTTGGTGGGGCTGATGGTAAGGCCCCCACCTCATAGTGGCACGCTCCAGTCTCAGAAGCAGCGTCTCTCAGGTAACAAGCTGAGATTAGGAGCACCCCTTTAAGAGTGTGCTCCTAATCTCAGCTCGTTACCTGTATAAATGCCACCTGGGAGCCAGAAATCTTCTGATTGGAGGGGGTCAAATACTTATTTCCCTCATTTAAATGCAAATCAATTTATAACATTTTTGACATGCGTCTCTGGATTTTCTTGTTATTCTCTCACTGTTCAAATAAACCTACCATTAAAATTATAGACTAATCATTTCTTTGTCACTGGGCAAACGTACAAAATCAGCAGGGGATCAAATACTTTTTTCCCTCGCTGTACTTTTTTAGGCATAAGCAATTAGGAAATAACACGACCCAGGAACAAAAAAATGTTAGTGTTATAATTATTGACGTAAATAATAATTTGCGTCAGCATGAAAAATATAAGCCACGGAAAAAGTAATTAAAAACAAACTACACGAATGATTATTTTGTGTTCAGTTTCTTTACTCGATCAGAGAAATCAACGATTGGAGGTCACGCGCTCGTTCGCGCAACCCGCAGCTATGAGCGTCCCCTAAGGTTGACTCGGCCTTAAATGGGTGCCTGCTTCGGTGTGTAAGCAGCACTGGGGAGACAAAGGAGCCTTCGTTAGGTGCTCACAACATCTGTCCCAACAGTCTGTTAGAAGGCAACACGAGGGATATTTTCCGCGTGTGTGCTGTGTGTGTTCACCTTGTGTGCGGGAGCGGTAGTGTAGCGGTCAACGCGCTGCGTATACAACCCGGTGAACCGCGTTTTATTTTCTCTCACGGCTAACACCACCGGTGAGGGGTTATACGAACCGGTCCTG